GGTTTTATATATATATATATATATATGTGTGTATGTGTATGTGTATGTATATATTCAGTGTTAAATGCTATGAAACAAAAACGACAACGCATATCGCTGGTTTTTTTTGGACGTTGCACTGGTTTGGGTCTGTTGTGGCTGCTTCCCCACTGCTCACAGACCCTGACCTTGAGCTGGGTGGCGGGATCCTGACACACAGGCCACTCTGCCATGATAAGCAGGCGAGAGAATCATAGACATATTAGAATGGTTTGGGTTGGAAGTGAACTTAAAAGATCGTCCAGCTCCAACCCCCTGCCATGGGCAGGGACACCTTCCACTAGTCCAGGTTCCCCCAAGCCCTGTCCAGTCTGGCCTTGAACACTGCCAGGGATGGGGCAGCCACAGCTTCAGGGCAACCTCTTCCAGTGTCTCACCACCCTCACAGTAAACAATTTCTTCCTAATAATGTAAAGCTACCCTCTGTCAGTTTAAAGCTATTCCCCTTTGTCCTACCCCTACATTTCCTTGTCAAAAGCCCCCTCCAGCGTTCTTGTAGCTCCCTTTAGCTGCTGGAAGACTGCTATGAGGTCTCCCTGAAGGGAAAAGTATGGCTTTTCTCCGAAAATGTGCTATGGAGCAGAGAGCCAGGGTTTCTTCTGAAGAAACGTGCCCTGATTGCAGCAACCCAGCAGGCCTGAGTCTGCTCCTTATGCTTGGGGCAAGAAAGAAGGAAGAGGACACACAGGCCTTTCTATAACCTTTCCTCTTCCCCTTGCTCTTAGGCAGCCTGAGGCTGTCCAATCTTAGAGCAGCTTTGAGAAGAGATTAGCCAGAGCACTCCGGTCTGCAGCTGCAGCTTCCTCCACCCCCAGCCTGCCTCCAGGCTTATGGGGCTAGAAGTAAAACTGCCCTACATCATCTCTGTCATTGGATTACACTGCACCCTGCAGCAGGAGCACCGTGCCAGCAAGACCTGCATCAGGACACATTTCCAACCTTATCCTAGCTGTCACTGGCACCTTTTGCTCACCAATGACCACTCAACCTGTCATCCCAGGTCACACAGCAAACCTGTTGCGCTGCAGGGAGAGAGCAGCAGCCAGCAGGACTTGTATGTATTTGTCCTGCCCCTGCCCTTTAGACAGGCATTGAGAGGATCAGCATATTCTTCGTTGCCCATGCTCTTGTCACAATCAACTTATTATGAGCTGTTTCTGTCTCCTCAGCAGCATCACCCTATGTTGCCAAAGCTGCGGACAAGGGTTTTAGTGCAGTTTGAAAGCCAATCCAAGTTATCCTGTAATTACCATTTGTTCTTATAACAACATGAAGGAATGCACTCCTTTGCCCCTGGGCAGTAGTCCAGCCTGCCCCTTTCTTCCTCATCTGCTGCCACCCTCCAGTCTATCAAAAGTAGCTGCCAAAAGCAGGATCACACAGGAGCCATCCCAAATTCCTCCCTGAAGTCTGAGGGCTGAGGGATGTGTTTTACAGCAGCTGCTTAGATCCAAGGGCATGAAACTTAATTAACTGCAGTCTCAGAGGACAGAAGCTGGAGGGATGGGAGCAATGGATCAGCCTGTACTCTGCTGACACCTCTCCGTGGTCAAATCACCTGATCTATATGGTTCCCTTTTTACTTCTTGCACAGACAGACTTGTGACAATGCTGAATGAGGAAATGACCACATGTCTTGCATCATTCAGGTTAGATCTGATGACCAGAGCCACCCCTCTGGCCTTAAATTTGCACAGTGATTTGGGATGTGAGGCTCACTGAAAGGGGCTCTGGGTCCCTTGCACACCTTAGCTTCACCCATAAAGCTTGTGACTCATGCTATGAGAGCTGAAGTTGACAAAATTGGCCAAATATTGAATGAAATGGGATTAGTAACAGCACACATGGAAAAAGCCGTCATTCAGCTGCTGTCATGCCAGCCATCATCTCCTGCAACCAAAAGCAGACTTTGCCTTTGACGCACGAGGCAATGTTATCTGTTGTCAAATCACAGGGAGAGGCTCACTGATGAGTGAGTGACTACTCAGAGTGGGAAAAAAAAGAAATAAATCACTTCAGCACTTGTACTCCAAGAGGGGCCCCATGGTCGAGATGGAGCAGCCCAGATAGTCCACAAACTGGACTAACCAGGTCCCAAAGCAGGAGAGAGGCAGTGGAAGAGAAGGGGCTGAGCTGTAAATGCAGGAAGCATGGATGGAGATGCCAGGAGGCAGCAGTATCTGGGGGAAGGGGTTTTGGCTGTGTGAATCTCACACTTGGCACATGAGTCTTGGCAGGTCTCGAATGTTGCCTATGTAGAAATATCTGAAGGCAGTGCTTGGCTCTAGTGAAAATCTTCCGGGGTGTGGTTCAAGCACTCTTCTCCTGTAAAAATGCAAGAGCACTCAAAAACGCTTCGTATGGGTGCTCTGCAGTTCCTTTTGCCCCCAGAATGGCAGGAGTAGCATCAAGGGATAGTGAAAACTGAAAGGAAAATGTTGCAGCTTTTCTTAAAATACCAGCTGAAGTCTGGAGTGGCAGCTAAAGTCTTACTACTGCACACACCCAGTGGTGTAAGGTGCCTGTGTGCTTGTTATATAAAGCAGCTGTAAAGTCATGGAAGAGTGAACAGACAAACAGACAAGAGAGGGAGCATGTTAGACTACAGGACAGCAAGCTCCAACACGTTCCCAGCCCAGCGAGTCAGCTTGCTGAACAAGGGATATTCAAAGTTTCAGTCTTCTCGGCACCCTTCTTGCAGTTGTTTCAAATGAAAGACTTGTGCTTTTAAAGCTGTGAGACATTTGCTATTTGTAGAGGCTCCTTCTCCTTCTTTCCTGACCCACTGTGGCCTTATAAAGTGACAGGCTCAGTGTTAAGTGGACCCTAGCTGTTCTATGGCTCTGTCCCTCTCATGGCAACCGAGCTGGCTGCATTAAAAATAGCTCTCCAAGTATAACAGGTACTTTGACATCTGCACCCCAAAATTTCCTTGCCATCAGTATTTCTAAATAAACTTGCCTAAATTTATTTTCTAAATAAAACTGCCTAAAAAGCATTCTAGAGCCTCTTACCTTTGACATCATGTTCCTGGGGAGAGAATAACCGGGGATCAGAGCTGAGAGTTGCCTTAAGCCTGTACTATAACAGCTATAAGTTAAGAAGCATTAAAAGAAAGAGTCTGGGAGGGAGGAAAATGGGTGGTTTTGCATGACTGCCAGTGTCAACTATTAACTACTGACTTGAACTACTACTTTGTACTGTTTCAACCCCAGCATATTAGAGACACTGCTTATATTGACATTGTCACCCAGCTTCTTGAGTACTGTTGTCTCACCCATCAACATGAAAGCTCAGCATCCCACAGGAGTGAGCCTTACAAGAATATGTGGTCATTACTTCATTCTGGTCACTGAGTGAGGCTCTTTACTCACATGAGAATCAACTAATTTCTGAAGTATTTAACTTTTGATTATGACCCCTCACCCCTTATCTCTCGATGGAAAAGTGCATTTCTGTATGTATAAAGGCAGATTTTAGGTGACTTCCTGGGTCAAACTTGAGTCATGTGTATAGTTTTACATGCTTCTAGGTGCATAACAGCTGAGCGGAGGGTGCAAACTATAATCTGTGATCTGGATCCCTAGGTGGGATCCAGGCATGAGTATCCTTTAGTGGTTGTGATGCAGGGCTATTTGCCATTCCTATGGCAAATGTTTGAGCATTGCAGAATGCAGTGACAAGGATGAGAGCAAGAGCTGAGTGCTGATTCCTGTGTCCTCCTCAATTATTTTTGTTTTCTGTGTATCTGTATTGTTTATGATCGTTTTCAAGAGGAAGATTTTCTGACACTTCCACTGATGTCAGCTGAGTAAGGGGATAAATGATGATTGAGAATGAAAACCAGGCAAAAATCCAGCCCTAGCTTTTTTCTTGTCCTATTTGGAAAAGAAACAAAAAACAAATTACATGCGTCAAAATTAACTACATCCTCTTGGAACCTCAGCCCAGCATACTGAGTTAAATTCCCCCAGGTATAATACATTAAAGTACATACTGATTTGCTTATCAAAACAAAGAATGAGTATGCACACGCCAGGGGTGGGGTGCTGAGTGGTGAAGGTGTCTTGCTGTGGAATGGAAACTCTGAATTTGACTCTTGCAGCAGACTCATGCCAAAGGCCACTCGTTTCTTCTCCCCAGCAGCCCCTGGTCTTGCAGGGTGGGAAAGTTAAAACAAGCCAGGTGCTGCACTAGTCACGAAGTTCCCTTGGCTCCTCTTGATTTACATTAACACTTCTAGCCTGTGCTGTGTATAGGCTTGAGAGCTTTATCATGGAGGCTGAGCTAACATGAATGAAAGGCCTTGAATTGCTCAGAGCTGTAGCTTCCCTCCTTCCTGTAGTGTGAAGTTGTTCCTGCTTGTCCCTTGTACACCTTGATCTCAAGCCCTTGCTCTTCCTTGACGCAGACTCGTTCCTTAGCTGCATACCTCCTCTTTTCATTTCCTCTGCTTCTGCTCCTGTGCCTGGCCCTGGTGAAGCACAGAGCAAGCACAGAGCTGTGAACAGCCTTCTGGGGAGATACCACTGGAAGTTTAAACCAGAGAAACTTATGCTCCTGAATCTCCGTTGGATTTCTGCATGTGTGGCACTTGTAACATAGGCCATTCAATTCACTGTAATGCATGGGATGAGATTGTTCCCATTCACCCTTTTCCATGTAATGGAATTTTACAGGATGAAATGCTGTTCCTCCATGAAGTGATTCCTTGTACACAAACCTGGGCTGTTGCTACTCTCATGTTTTGTTCTGATCACAGATAATCCAAGGAGTTGTTGTTATAACAGTCCCCACTTTCTACTTCACCACTGACCCAGTTTGGTAATTACAACACTTCTGAGTCTCTCTTGGGTTTGGCAATGGATGTCATGTGCTTGAGTGATGAGTAGCCCCAGCTGTTGTGTTTTGCTTTATTTATTTAACGTGAACTCATGTGAATTCAATAACATCTAATCTGCCGAGCACTGAATGAATCATGCAGAACAGTTTGTAAAAACCCTGGATACAGCCTCAGAGTATGCAAGCTATTTTCCTGGAAGAAGTTGCGTAGAATTTCATTAGTGGCATGAATCTGGTAGGAAGCTCTTCATGTATGATGCATTGTTTCTCTGGGATTTTTAATGTGTTGTGAAAGTCTGCTGATGCAATGCTCATCCTTTCATTTGACATTATTAAAAAAATAGAAGTTATTTTTATCCTGAATGATTTTATTTGGAAAATATTATCACCAACTTATTATTCTTGTATAGCATCTATGGATGATTTTATGTTGCTAAACACTTCTTTGAATATACTTTGACATCAGAGTTTATATATTCAGCCGTTGCAGGATGAGTTACAGATGCCCCGAGAGGATCTTTTGGAGGAGAGGGGTGGCTTATGGAAAAATATTTCATCCTCCACAACACGAGTTTGCCTTAATAGAGACTATAGAGAACTCAGAGTGAGAAAACTAACCAGGATAATTCAAACATTTTATGTCTCAGCATAGGACAGTGGCCCATTTCCTGCACTGTGCTGTAGATGTTCAGCGTTGACTACGCACAGTAAATGTAATTTATTTGGTTTTTTTTTCCTGATGATTCAGTGTTCAGTGCTGTTCTTCCTTTAAATTGTTCTATAACTAACTCTGATTGATGATTGATTGATTGATGTTAAAATCATCCCTCACAAAAATACTTCTTAGAATCCCAGGGTCACAGGATGGTTTGGGTTGGAAGGGACCTTAAAGCACATCCAGTTCCAGCCCCCTGACACAAGCAGGGACACTTTCCATTAGAAGTGCTCCAAGGCCTGTCCAGCCTGGCCTTGAACACTGCCAGGGATGGGGCAGTCACAGCTTCTCTGGGCACCCTGTGCTGGTGCCTCATCACCCTCATAGTGAACAATTTCTTTCTCGTGTCTAATATAAATCCACCCTTTTTGATTTTAAAGCCATTTCCCCTTCTCCTGTCACTACATAGCCTTGTAAAATGTCCCTCTCCAGATTTTTTTGTAAGCCACCTTTAGGTACTGGAAGCTGCTCTAAGGTCTCCCCAGAGTTCAGAGGAGGCCATGAAGGGGATCAGAGGTCTGGAGCACCTCTGCTATGAAGACAGGATGATAGAGTTGGGGTTGTTCAGCCTGGAGAAGAGAAGGTTCTGGGTAGACCTTACTGTAGCCTTTTAATACTTAAAGGAGTCTTATAAGAAAGGTGGGACAAACTTTTTAGTAGGGTCTGTAGTGGTAGGACAAGGGTAATTGTTTTAAACTAACAGAGGGTAAATTTAGTCTAGAGATAAGGAAGAAACTCTTTCCTGTAGGAGTGGTGAAACACTGGCACAGGCTGCCCAGAGAAGCTGTGAATGCCTCATCCCTGGAAAAATTCAAGGCCAGGCTGGATGTGGTTCTGAGCAACCTGATCTAGTTGAACATGTCTCTGATCGTTGCAGTGAAGTTGGACTAGATGAGCTTTGAAGAGCCTTTTCAAACCAAACTATTCAATCATTTTATGATGCTGTTTTTATTAAAGAGGAAGTCGAAGGACAGGTAGTCCTGTAATCAACATTGAGCCTATAGGCCAGTTTCTCCTTCAGCTACACAACACTGGTACATGCTTGAACATTTGGCTGGAAAAACAAGTCTTTTAGAGGTGGCAAGGAAGGAACTGATTCTTACCTATGTAACAAGGGATGTTTTCTTAATAACAATACTTTTTTAAATACCCAAGAAACATAGGAAACATAAATAGAACATCTGTCAGGGACAAAGTTTGTCTGCAAGGTACCAGACTGGAAAGTTGGCACATTAGTGCTAGGTTCTATCTCAGCTTTCAAACAGTTTCTGTCATAAATGTTTAATTTAGTTTTTTTCTTCGATTACATTCTTGCATGGATAGACAAAGAAATAATGTCAGACTTCCAACATATCTTGACATACTAATTTCCATGGGATAAAAATCTTGCAGAAGTCCTCTCTGAAGTGTCTTCAGTAACTAACTAAACTAGTGGACTTTTAAAGAATTAATGCTGTCATGAACCTATTTTTCTGCAGGCGGGTTTTGGTGTCTTGTTCGGATGTCTAATGTATTTTTATTTTCCAAACATCCTAGGTTTAAAACCAGAGAAATGTAAAAATTTTTAAAGATACTTCAGAATACTTTACAGATATTATGTGCTTACCTTTTAGAGACACTTTGTCCTTGTTACTGAGGACATGAAAGGCACAAAAAAATGTATGGAATGGGAAGTCAATAACATAGTATGATAGAGAACACCAAGTAGGCGTTAAGTTGAACACCTTTCTCTATACCAGACTTCTCTAAAAAATGTATAGGATTTCATGAATTTTGAATACCTAACACCTCTTCCAAAAGACCTCTCCAAACCCTTCTGTCCAAGAAAAGATTTGCGACTGTAATGAAATATATTTTCTAAATGCACATCTGTAATTTACTCTGCTTATCCGGGTTTCAATCTGCCTCACAATAAGGTGGTAACTGTATGACACTGAAAGCAGTCTATTCTGTAGCAATGAATGGCTCAGTCCATTTGATGCTTTTTGATCCATCCAACCATGAGAATAGACTGAAAATTCACAGAAATACTTGGAGGAGCAACAGTTTTACATCTCATCGCCAGCTATTTTTTTTTCTGTGAAGCATGGAAAGGTCTTCCTGTGTTCTGGTTTCCAAAAAGCTAACAGCCCACCCCTCACCTTTGCCAGTACCTAACTGCTATGCAGTATAGACAGACTGAACTGCTGTCACATCCCCAGTTCACTGTACAGAAACAAAATCACCTTTGCTCCAGAAAACCATCATTCTAGGTGGTAAAAGGCCTCAGGGAATAATAGAAATTTTGATATTCAGAAATGAAAGAACTTGAAAATATATATCCATGTTTCAGCTAAACTCATATCACCTTTTTCTTTTTTTGCAAGTCTCATGTCCTCTTTAATCCATCTTTAAACCCAGATGACAAGGAGATTGCATAGTTTGGGTGCTATGCCATCTAGTCTAATTCATGCTTTGCCAAGAGAAGTTGGGCCATATGATCCTTGAGGTCCCTTCCAACCTGGTATTCTATGATTCTATGATAATTTGATTGTTTCATTCTCTCTAAACTTTTTGATTTAATAGAATGAAGTATGAATGAAATACAAGAAGTCAGACAGGTTTCAGCTATGTTTCTCCCTGGTGTTCTGGGGATATCTTCTGTGTATTATACTTCTTCTGCTGAATGCTAAGTTTTCTTCCATTTTCTACTCAAAGTAGCACAATTTACTTTCAAAGCACTCAGTGACAAGGACAGGTCATGAGGACAGCCGTGCTTTGTAAAGACAATTCAGCTACGTAAGAAATGGAAACTTTGAAACAGCTGCACTTAGAACTACATCCTACAACACAGTAAATGAGTGCAGAATCTGGGCCTTCTTATGACTATTCCTTTGAAGAATTCTGTTCAGCTCAAATTTTGGACCTAGAAGGGAAAAAAGAAGCCATGATATAATATTTTCTCATAACTGAAGTCTGTGTTGAAAAGGGAAGTACAGAGAGAAAAGAGAAAAAAGTTCTCATTTAGTACACCAGGGTCATCATTATGCATGTTTTGGTGAACGAAACAATGACCATTTCAGAAATCAATGAGGTAATGACCACTGCAAAGAAAGCAGACAAGACTTAGATCTAGGTTTTTCTGTGGGTTGAGCCAACTCGCTTCACAAGTGAGCCATACTAAAAGTGTACACAGCCAGCTCCCATTCCTCAGCTCTTGAACGATAATCTTTAATCAATAAACCACAAATCAGTTGTTTTCATGCGTTGATTTTTTAACATTTTCCCAATCCATTCACATAGCCAGGCATAGAAAAAAGAGTGGTTGCATTAACTTCTCATTTGAGGGTTTTCCCTTGGGCAAAGTTGAGGTGCAGAAGGTAGATAATCTCATAGTTTCCATGCTCCTTGAACAATACTGCACTTAAATCTGTAATGTAAATCATTTTTTCTAGAAATGTATTCCAGTTGTACATGATGCAACAGATCAGGCTTTGGATCTCACACGATTGCTGGCTGTCTGATTGCACAAGTAAGCAAATCTTTTTTACCCTTCTCTATATACATATTTCCACTAATGTGAAGCAGCAAGTTAGGGCTAAACTGGGGAGAAAAAGAAGTTCTTCTGACACGGTCTAGTTCAATAAGAATACATTGTTTTGGTGCAGTAGTTCTTCTGTGAAGGTTTATGGTGTATGTGATCCAAGAGGTCACAGTCTGTAGTGGTCCTTTCTAACCTTAATAGTCTGTGAATCCCTCCTCTACTCAGTCACTCAGTCCTTATGGGAATGTCTTAATCTCTTACTGTATTTAACAGTCAAGAAATTGATGGAATTCAATCCTTCTGTCTCAAGATGCAAATTTATATATATATATATCATGTATGATTTATGCACAAAAATCACACTCTAGATAACATAAAGCTGAGTGTAGACATTGATCATTTTTTTCAAGCAACTGCTTATAAATTTAGTAAGCTGTCTGCCTTTTTATACTTTACAGTCTGTTCTCATTACAGACATTGCATCAGGCTTTGTAGTAAATTTGGAATTTGCTGAGTGAGAAAATGAAGATTTATACAAAGCTAAATTGAACAAATGGTGAATAATTGATTTAACTGACCTGACAGCTCACACTGTGCTAGTAAATAATACATAACTTTGTGCTATACTGATAATTTAGTATTCTGTGCTTCTAGATTCCTTTTGGTAAGTTACTGCAAGGAGAAAATTATCTTTGACCACCCTAAAAAGGCAAAAATATGCTTACCAAGCATATTCTGGTACCCCAGTTTTAGAGTGCAACGGTCTAATACCATGCTGACAAAACATCTTCTTAAAGACTCTTTGCCCTTTTGTCTTTTGTCTCTAAAATATTGTTGGAGGGATTACATCAATATAAATATTTCACACTATTCTGCTAGCCACAAGTTCCCAGAGTCAGATAGTCTCTGTATAAATTTACCTAGCATCTCTGCAGTGAACAGAATCACAGTGACTTGTAACAGCAAATGCTTGTCCTTTTCTTTCAACATATACATTTGAACTCTTAATCAAATGCATAATCACAGGTTATTCTTAAACTGTTTCTTGAAGTATGCATACAGCCCTCAGCTGATATATATGTTGGATAGCTTCATTGCCTTGTAACTACTGTAATAACCTATATAATAAAGGCTTGAAAATCAACCACTAGGATCTGGCAGACTTCCATACCCATCTTTGCAGGAGAGCAATTGGTTACAGAAAAGCACAGAGAAGTGAAGAGTTTCACCAGCATTGTGTTGAGATTCTTTCTCTCACCACAGAAATACATCCACTCAGAGAAAGCAAACAGCATCTGTTTAAGGCAGAAGGCGACATAAGGACTTAAGTTACAGTGATTCTGCATCACATACGAAAATGCAAACCACTGTCAGAGTGACCAGCGGAAGGGCCTGAGAGCTATGTGCTGTCCATGGATTCAAAAGGAAAGTTCTCCATAAAGCCAGTGGGAAGCACATACAGGTCTTGCTCCGGAAGATAGAGTTTATACTGTTACTTTGCTGAATCCTTTCTAACAACCTTATCTGTGGAAAGTCACTGTTAATACATTGTGGCCGCGAGCTGAAGCGTACACATAGCAAAGAAATGTGAAATTGAGATTCCCAGTGCAATTTTAATCCAACTACTGCACTTCTTTCATTTTAACACTGTATCATTTTTACAGTACTTAGTGTGCAGTGTGGTTGAGTTGTGATAGCTGCAGAAAAAATTTTGGGCTTATTCCAGCTGCTTTCTCTGAAAGCAGAAGACATGATTATTCTCTTTGTCAGGTGGTGTTTAACTAAAGATCTACCTACTGTCCTTAAAGCTCATTCTGCCCTCTGACTTCTCAAATTTATCCTATCTTAGCATGTGAAAGTCCCAAAGCAGACTGCACATCTGGCATATGTCTAGGTAAGGAGCCTGGCACTGGGTGCAGCAGAGGAACATGGCTTTGAGAACTGGGTCCCATGAACAGGGAGATGCTGACTTGCTGCATTCCAGTGCTGCAACATCTCTCCTTGTTGTCCCCAGGGAAATTAGGATCTGACAGATAAGTCATGGAGCAGAAGAGGGGCTGCAGCATGGTTTCATATAACCACACGAACTCTAGTCTGAAGCGCAGGTGGAAGGTGCTCATTGCTCAAGTCTCAACTTCAGTGCTCAAGATGCATCACTTGGCCATTCTTTGTTGTTTTTTTTTGTGTTCCTGGCTTGTCAGATATTTTCTTCCCTATCCAGCTTGGGTGAAGTTTTCCTTTAAACACCCCAAGAGATGTATAAGAAAATTAGGGCTTACAGACCTAGTCAATACCTAGACTCAGTGACACCAATGTGATGCAGGTAAAAGATGGAGCAGCCAAAATTAGAATGACCAGGTTTATGATGAGTCAGATCACTGCAAAAACTTTTGATTAAATGAGGCTTAAAAGCCTCACAGACTGGATCTGCAAAGCAATGGATAAGGAAAAGAAATGAATAGAGAAACTTGCAGAAAGGAGAACTGTATATGTCTGTGCTCCCTCTGTGAACCCCACAGACACCTGGCTGCAGAGCTTTACTGAGCCAGACCTTCCCCCTCTGGCAACAGGTTCATCAAGGGAAAGTCCATCAGAAATTAGTATCTTTTTTGCCTTTCCTTTATCATGGGCTGGGTCAAGCAGATTGGGCAACAGACATGACAGGACCAGCTGACTTAGAAATGATGAACTTTTCATGCTGATTTCTCAGCAAAGATTAGCAAAATGGTCTGTGTTTGTTGCAACAACCCTTTATTTTATGTACATACCTGACATTCTCCAGTACACCCCATCATATAAAGATTCCTGCTCTTCTCACAGTAAAACAGCACTGTTTTTTTTTTCCCCATATACTTCCTTGTGTCTGATTTCATGACTGATTTTTAGGCTCTGCTGTAAAGGCAGCTCTTAATGTGGTAGGTCCTTTCCTCCACAGTAGCATGAGCAGCAGCAGCTGGTGCTAGACATCAGTGGAAGTTGCATGAGTCTAACTCAGAGTTAGATTAATGCTGCATGTTTCTCTAGGGTTGGTTTTGCTTTTGCCTTGTAGGTGTTTATGGTTCCTTATTCCCTGTTTGCAGGCCAGAGAGAATAAACAAAGTCCAGATTCTCTGGACTTTGACCCCAGAGAAATCACTGCTTCTCCTTTATATAGAGAGTTTGCAGTAGCCCAATATTCCCTTCTTTCCCCAGCTCTAAGGATGGTGTGTGCTACTCTAACAAAACAGATGTTTTATCTAAAAAATTTTGAACCTCACAAATGAATCCCAAAAGCTTCATCTACCTCAACTATCCAGAGGAGCTAAAGCATAATGAGAGTCCCGAAGGGGGCAATGCACCACTTTTATACTGCTGTGAGAATGACAGGGAAAAGGGTCCAACACTATTTTAAGATCACAGAGGAAACGAGAGAACCTGCAGTTTTTCTGGTCAACTTGGAAAGAGAAAATAAGGAGTTTTAAAAACTAAAAAGGTCTTCTTGCTCTTTCTAGAATCCTTCTAGAACAAGACACACCAAACACCTACTACCTTTTCTGTTTGCATACAGGGAAACTGAGGCAAAGCACAAGCAGCAGACTAAAGCTTTGGTGTAGACAAACACTCCTGCATATATGCATTGGTGGCAGCAGCATCCATGCTGAAAGCCTGTTTCCAGGGTCAATAATTATATTCCTTCCTCCTGTTGTAGGTGGGGAGATGCTTGATATGCAGACCCAGCAAAAATCCCCTTTCAGGTGCTTGTGTCCTTCATATTTCCCAGGGACGTTTGTATCTGAGTCTAGTTGTATTGAAATAACTTAACCTGGTTCAAGCTGGGACACAGCCAGTCTCCATTTTCTGCCATGAAGAATTTTGGGGCAAGTTGGTGATCTGGCTCAGTCTGCCAGCTCCAGGACAAGTATACAGCCCCCCAAATCAAGACGCTGTTGTCTGCCTTTCTTCATTAAATTGTGTCACTCCCTTGGAGGCTATCAATCTTCTCTCAAAGCTCTGAGAGATTTTTGTCCAGTTGCTTCCTCTAATTCCAGCTGCCTTCAACCTATTTACTAATTCACGGGCAGGGGAATGTTTCTCTTCCTCCCTGCTTGCAGGGGAAGCTTCCTTACCCCATTCTTGCTCTGGGGTCACCTCTGCCTTGAGAGCTGATCTTTGTATGGGAAAGACAGCAGTGAGGTTCTCTTCTATTCAGTTGGGGACCATTCTGTTTCACTGCACCTAAAATGCTTTCCTTCCTCACTAGGTTTCCCTAGGTTTCCAGACATTTCCACTTAATTACAGGCCTCTTCATGCATGGGATTTCATTCTGTCTTGATAGGGTGAGATTACTTCCCAGAACTCCATTTTTCACTTCTAAAGAGATAGATTATTAATTAGTATAATTTAATATTTATACAGCCTTCTGGTGATTTGGAAACATAAAAAGGGCGGTCCCTGATCTTAAATGCTTGCAGTATGTTTTAGGTGATACTGAAAGAGATTAAAAAAGGCCAAGGCACAATCTGAAGTAGGAAAATACACAAACATGGAGATATTAGATGCTCAAGGTATGTGCCTTCCTGGTCTTATTCTTTGTGATATAGATCTCTGATTTATAGAAAGGTATTTTTAATGTGCATACATCACTCGGGAATAGCTGAACATGAGAAATGTGTCACCGAAGCAAAATAAAACAAGGCCAGTATGAAACTGTCAGAGGTTCTAGCACAACAGAGGAAGTAATTCCTTTAGAAAGAAAAATCCAGATGACCTAAAGAGTAAATATGTTTTCACAGATCCTGAAGTCTTTTTAAAAATTGTAAGCTTAAAAACCATATATCTTTTGAGTACTTTTTATTTGCACTGGGTTTTCTGAGGCAGTGTTACATTTTATAGCTTTACTGGAAAAGCTTGAAGTGCAATAACCTTGGGGTTTTTTTCCTCCGCAAATAGGAGTGGTAATACTACAGTTTACATGTTAATCCAACCTTCAGGCTGTAAGGAAAACATAAAGTTGCAATGCTGAACACAACATTCTGGGAAAGGAAGAGGTGTCTGTTGCACGTAAGTGAGTGAATAAAAAAGTAAAACTAAGTCAAGTGGGAGCCTGAGTTAATCGGGGGTAAGTCATCAGGAGAAACAAAGCAAGTAAAACAAGTGGCAGCTGTGGAAGAGTTAGCAAAAGAAGTAGTTTTGTTGCAAACAAGTGGCAAAGATGGGACAAAATTAGATGAGCTGCAGAATTCCTGGGGTTCATCTGAAAATCATGTTAGAAGGTATTCAGAGTGCACAGCCAGAATGGAGCAGGAAAGAGCTCTGCATGCTTTAAGAATTTTAAATGAATAAGGTATTCAAGGGCTTATGGGCTACCATTGAAAATGTAATACAAATTGTGCAGAAAATATTTCCTGAAGGAGAAATCAGGGGTCATTAAAAGGTTACTTTGAACTAATGCTCCTTGATTGGTTGTTAGTGTTCAGCTTCCTCTGAAGTGACAACGCGTTAGGGTGACCGTTGCCCTCTTCCAGCAATTATTGGTGCTCTGGCGATTGCACTCAGTTTTAATCAATTTGAGTCATGAATGGTGCTTTTCTTGGTTTCAAACAAAAAAGCCAACTGTTGGGCCAGAGATGTCCACTTCTTTTTGGCAGCTTCCTGTTTTCTTTCGGAAACTTTTTGAAGACCCTGTCAGGTCTGAGACTGATCATGATGAATCCCTTCTCTGCCTGTATGGCACTCATTAAGTGATCCGCATTCCAGCAGAAATCCATATAGCTAACAGAAAGCAAGAAGGCAAGAACTCCTCCTGGAGCAGCACAAAGGTCTGTGTAGCATCTGGTTCCAAATCTCCACCTAGGTGTGGGGATGGCTGTCTTAGAGAAAGGTATATGATTCTCATAGCTGGGAGGTCAGGGATAATGTTTCTCATTTTCTCCCCTCTCTTACTCTAGTAAGTCTATTTTGTATCTGTAATAATTAGGTTTTTGCTTAAGCTCTGAAGAATGAAGCTGAACAACCAGGATGTATCTGTTAGCAATATTTATAACTCTGGATATTCTTGCTATCTGTAGGAATATAAACCTTATCATAACCCCACTTATTCATCTCTGGCAGGAGTTGCCAGGTTCAGGTGCACATGTCATTAATGATGCATAAGCTATCGCAAAGAAAGAACAAATGCTGGCTCAACAGCTGAATGTCCCCATGGAAAACATCCATGGGCAACCTTGGATGGACGTGGTAGTGCTGCACCATTACCTGTGTCAAGTGGAGAGTCAGGAGACTCCTTATCAGAGCCAAACACTTTGCAACACTAGTTTCAGAATACAATTTTCACCACCTGGATCAGCATGAAGTATTCTTATTTACCTACTGTGTGTTCCTGGCCCATTTTTTAGCATGACATGCTCAGTTATGACAATGCAGCAGCTTCTGTATTTGTGTCTCTGGGAACTGCTGCAGCTTGAGAGGACCAGGCTTGGAAAAACTGCATTACTTCCCCATTCCAGTTCAGAGCATAGCCAAGCAAACAGTTGTGCCTGGACAACTAGCTGACACTAGATGGCTAACTTCACTGCTGTTGTTTCATGATATGAATCTCCTGTTTTTCCCTCTACTCACCCATCCATATCTATCTACTGTTGAATTTAGAGTAGAAAAGGGCCTATTCTGTTTATGTCCATAGCAACTTGAGGACTGTAATGTTTGTTTCGTGCTTGAAACTCCTCAATTCTTGCATTAATAGCCGCAGCTGATGACTTACCCAAAGCTCATTGTAAGGCCATGCATTTTTAAAACCAAATCCTTCCGTAAAAGTCTTTTTATTCTTACGTTTATTAAGCTAAATACTGTTGTCTGTGTAAATCTCCAAGTGAAGATATATGTATATATTCTTTCATATGAAAAAACACTACTTTTATGTGCTGGTGATTTTACCTTGATTTGTCTTTTTTTTTGAGTCCTGTTTCCTCTGTGTCTAATCCATGATCATATGAAAGATTTGGTAAGTAGCTGCAAGAATATTCAGCTTTGTGCACTGAATATTTAAGAAGCAGTGATCTGTATTTCAGGGAAGCCTTTAATTAGCAAATGAGTCATTAGAGAGCTCTCTATTGACACCTGGCATCAGCAGGAGCACACCTGAGCCTGACCTGGACACTCTATCTTCAAGGTGAACTGTGAAGTAGTAAAGAGTTCTTTTTTGTTGCTTTATAGCACACAAGGAGGTCTTGGTACCTGCAGTGTCATAACTTGTTCTTCAAAAAAAGTCTTCTAGGGAAAAGAGGACAAAAGAATGTCTAATTGAAAAATAAATAAAAATAAAATAAAATGCAACCTCAAAAAAAAAAAATGGTTAATTTTTGTAAGAGAAGAGGTGGCTGGAATTTAAGATAATCAGATACATCAGCATTTCTGTGACACTAAGACAGTTCTTATGTTATCAGTAAAATATGGGAGCCTCCTTCCAGAAAAGCATACAGTCGAAACACAGAGTGGGATGTCTGCAATACTAACTCGTTAGTGCTGCATTGCAGGAGCAGATCTAGGCAGCATAACAGGTTGCATCAAGGACTCAGTGTCCACACCATCTGCATCTGGTGGGATTACTTTAGATTATCTAGAGTCTGTGGACTGAGTCACTGTATTTAATATCTGGATAAATTTTCCTTAGCTTTTGGTTCAACAATGGTTTCATATCCCATGCTTAAGGCTAGAAGGCATGCTCAGCTGCAGAAAAGTAACACACTTAAGTATTTCCTGCCTGTGATGGTTTCCCAATCAAGATATCTGTGTTTAAAAATTCCGAAAAGAGAAGAAAAAAGAAAAGAAAAAAGAAAAGAAAAGAAAAGAAAAGAAAAGAAAAGAAAAGAAAAGAAAAGAAAAGAAAAGAAAAGAAAAGAAAAGAAAAAGAAAAGTTATTTTGATAAATAATGTACCCTTTAGCAGGATAGAAGAGGTAAGTCTTTTGAGGATTGACAAAGAGGTTTCTCTCTGCTGCGTAATAGGAATTATCTGTAGGGGACACGGAAATCCTCTAATTTCCATACAATATTTCAGCAGGCTTACCTTTTCCCCACAGATACTTGGTTTTTATTCCACAAAAAATCACTAGGTCAGATCCTGAGGCAATCACTACAAATTAGCAGACCCAAGATTCTGTCTACTCTACTTGTGCATGAAAGTATTTTTACCTTACAGCTCATGATGCCGTGTGACTACTTTTGATAATGAAAATCATAAGTATTTTTACTTATGATTTTCATTATTTAAGGCTCAATTCTCTTTTCAGATTTGGTGGCATAAATCTAAAATGGAATTACTTTACGCTTACAGCCTCTCTCCTGTGTCCTGAACTTGCCTCTCTGTGTTTGCGTGAAGAATGTCTGCTATATGCTTCTTCAAATCCCCTTTTCCTCCCTTGATAACGTACACAAGAACAGTGTGAGAATTTCAGTGGACCTGTTCTGGTTTGCACTATGATGCTGAGTGGAAGCTCCTCCATCTGCAAGAGTGGGCTTTGCACAGGCGGTGAGCTCTGCATGTCAAGGATGAACAGTGCGAATTGTGAGACCCTCCCTCACACATGAAGACTCAGACCAACAGTTTAACATTTAATAATGAGTTTTAATAAACTTTTTTCTTTTCCCTTGTGGGAATCTGAAATATTGCAGAGTGAATCAGGAGCTAGGAGGAAAACATCAAATAGCAAATCCATAGGAGAGGCTGAGTCGGAGTCAGTTACTAAAGCCGTGCTGATGCTCAGTTTGCTGCATAGCTCAGTTTTCAGAGTCAGAGTAGAAAAGGTCTCCCTTGCCATACACTCATGCTGTGAAACCCCTGGAGAGGATTTCCCTTTGCGTTTTTGTTGTCTTCTCAGGGCTTTGGATCATGCCATAGCTTACCATGTCCTGGGGAAGAAATGGAGAAAGACAGCACCAGCTTGACTGCACTGCTTGACAGTCACCTTTGTGAGACCCCGTCTCTTGAAAATCAGTGAGAAGCTGCTGGCGTGACCCGCTGGTGAACTACAACAAGGGGGGAAAGAGCAAATATTCCAAAGGGATAAAGCAGGACACGCACTTGCATCTGATCCAAAATAGCTGCTCTACAAAGGAAAAGTGAATGCAGCCAGCATAGCCAACCTGGTATTTCATGACCTTCAGTTTGCAGAGTTCAAGATATCTTAATTTCTTTTTGCTGGAGGCTTCTAAGCTGGGGGAGGAGGAGTTAGTGGTGAAGCAGGAGAGAGTAAATTTCCTTTCTAAAGAATATTCTTCTTCCGGTGGAAGCAGTGTATTGTTTCTCAAAATGGGCACAGTTATTTTCTAACTTCCCTGTATCCTGTCACCTGGCCCTTCCTTCCTCCTCGTGATACCACAGTAAAACACACAAACATACGAGCTGTGCATTATTTGCATCATGACAGGATTTATATTCTGATGGAGGGTGGTGATTTATACTTGTCGGATTTTCTACACACCACATTCCAGATGTGGAATGAATTTTACTGGCATTTATTAGTCACTCGGGGTGTTTGAGGATGGCTTCCTTTATACCCCTGACATTTATGCTCTGGTGTAGCTTCCCTTTTCCTTTCAGTGATGTTTTTCCTTTAAAAAGAGTAAAAACAAAAGGCAAACAAAAGGAAAATAAGTCCATTCTATAGCAGTGCAGACCCAATGGGATAGATTATGTTTATGGAGAAGGACATTCAGAACAGAAATCCCATTTTTCTAGTAAGGAAATAATGAAAAAAGAGTGATTATCTTTATTAACAAGCTGTTGTTGATGCTTCCAAGGTTTCAATCACCTTTACAAATGTTGTGGTGTCAGCACTGACTTTTTAAGCTTGTCTGTTCTAAAAACTGAGCTTTAAGTCATTGTGATAATAGTGAATCCCTAACTATTCCTTGATGAATTAAGAGCTAGGTGAAAATTTTAAGTTAAAGGAAAGGTGTGAGATAAGTCTTCCTGAAAGGACAAGAAGTTGCACATTATTGAGTATTTTTTACACACAGACTATCAAAAGGTTGATTTTCTGGCCAAAGCAAAAGAAACTTAGGCTTAAGGCATTCCACAAGGTGCATGAAGCAGGCACCACGCTCAGACTGCCTGTTGTGGGGAATGCAAGTAGCGTAAGATCAAGGGAACCGTAACTTACATATAGGTTTCTTGAGGCTCATGGGTATCAGAAGGAAACTGCTCTCTTCTTTGTGACTGTGTTCTTAGCCTGTGGTCTTAAAGGGTGTAAAAACTGATGGGTGCCACACAACCCAAAATTTATAAAGCAACAGAGGGAGCGATCATGGAGAAAGTGGGTGGGAGAAGTGGGAAGAACTCCTGAGAGAGGAATTATTTTTTGTAAAATCAATGAGTTTCGATAGATAGAGGGGGGATTACAAAGCCAACCTGCTTTACATGGGGGTTAATCTCCCCACTTCTGTTCCTCCCAAATGAAAAGCTGATTCCCACATTGCAGCAGCTCTTGAAGTCCTGCCGGAGAAGTTCTTCTGCTTGCTCAAACCTGGCATGCACAGGCTAAGAGGGGTTGAACACTGTGTTTGGATTTGGTAGGGGAGGTCTAATACAAGTTTTGCTCTCAAACTAAAATCAAACTGTATAAAAGTTCTGATATAAATTGGGTGCTTGCCGACAGCTAGCAGACGCTTGACTTTCTGCTTGATTCTGCTCTGCTGGTACTGCCTTCTTTCTCGGGTTGCCTTTCAGCAGGGACATGAGTGGCTGCCACAAGCATAATTCCCAGTGAAATGGGTAAGAGGGTTTCCATGAACATGGATGAGGGTTTGGGTCTGGCTCTTGTGCCACTGACAGAGCCCAGAAATGGTGACCACAGGAGACAGGTCGACCTAATTTATGGTATGGCTTCTTTAAGAACATACCGTCAGATTAGGTGGGGTAAACCCTGTGGAAGCAGAAAACAGCTCGCTGAAGTTTTTCAGGGATGAACTCAGTGTGAGAGCACGGGATAAGTATAAACAAATAAGTAAGTGAAGTAGCGGCTGGAACAGATAAGAACAGATCAGGGAATTATTTATAAGACATGAGAAAGCAGACAGTGTACGTGATGGGTTTAGCTCTGATGGGCCTATTAGCTGTAGGCAGCACTAAGTTTAAAGAGCCCAAAATCCCTGTGACATCTGAGATCAATGGGAATCTGTCCTCTTTGGTACTTATTAGATGAAGGTAAGGTTAATGGATTAACTTGTCAGGTGGATTTGGTAGTTAGTTCATTCAGTAAATACTAGCTCTTCCAGGAAAATATTGCTCTTTGGACTATGATGTAGCACATTAAAATAGGGCAGCTCTTGCCCTGTGTTGCTTTCGAGAAAAATAAACATATTGTTTAAGTGGGTGTAAGTCTGAGGCATATGTTTGTGTTTTGGATGAGATTATTTTTCATGGCAAATAACCAAAACAATAACAATAAACAGAAAAACCCAAAGCAGCTGACACTGTGATTTACCCTTAGAGGGGTGGACTCAAAACAAGCATGTTGCCACATGGGGATTGACTCAATGATCTGCCAAGACCAGCATGAATCCTTGTTATCGTTTCAACATGCGCTTGATCAAACCTCATCTTCTCAGCCACTGTGCTTTGGCTCATCTGGTGAAGTTGCTTTTCCCATTACAGTCTGTGGGTCAGAGTCAGGGTCAGTGTCAGGCACTCCACAAAGTAGACACCTGATTGCCTCTTGACACAGCCCTGAATCCCTGCTCAGCCTCTTCGCTGTCATA